ACTAACTCTGTGATTTTCTTTTTCTACACTTCCCTAAGTATGAGGGGGAGAAGTGACATTTCATTAGACAGTGTCTGAGCCTGATGAAAGTTGCAGCTTCATGTTCATCATGTGAGATGCCATGGTATTCCTTTTGTCTCATTACAAGGAAGGGCTAACACAAGAAAGCACTAATTTCTTGTCAGGTAGTTAAATATTTGAAGGAGACCAGAGTTTGGAGCTTAGATGTACTGGTAGACCAAATAACCAGTTTTGTAAATGTTATTTTGAGATTATTTGGTGGGGAAAAAAATGGATTGCACAGACTCTTTTTAAATGAGCTTCCCTTTTTAGGTTTTATTCCCCTTTTGAAAACTGTGTTGGACTTGCTCTTTAAAGTAGAATCATAATTACATAATTTACTTTGTGAGCATTTATCATTTGTATTTCTATTTGTTGTTCTCTTACCTCATTTTTGCTGTTTTTCCACCACATACTTGAGAGAGTTACCAGTCCTGATTCCTGTTTCAAAATATGGGTCACATCAGCTCTCTTATTATTTCCACTTTGAGCAGTCTAGTGAAGATTGCAATTATTTCTAGACAAGCCCATTATATTACTCTCCATTTGCCAAAACTTCTGGTCTTTATTCACTTACTTGGGTTTATAACATATGCCGGTTTTCTTTGAATTCTCCATTGGCTTCCTATTGACATATGGGAGGATTTCTCTAGCTTTTGATCTGTGGAACTCTAGACTCCCAGGATACCCTTTTAAAGTTAAAGTTTTCATAAGACTGAAAGGTAGTTGTACAAATTCCTTCCCTGGAAAAATGTGAGCAACACCTACCCATCCATATTAAGCTGAAACAACAACCCAAAGTATAGTTTCCTCAGAGTTCAGCCTAGGGAACCAATGAGTTCGGGACTGATAGAGCATGGATAAGGGACTGCTTACAGGAATGTGTAGGACCCCAAAGCAGCTGCACTCAAAGGTAAAAGTCTTAACTAGCATGAATCATAACTTCTCCATAGCTGCATAAATGGAGTTTCTCCTTCTGGTAATCCTTTCTTTTCTCTATATTCCTAACACTTCTCAAGACTAGAAAACTACATGTAATTAGAACAGAATTGTGTAGATAGCCAGGAGACACTGGAGGGAGTCACCAAAATCTCAGTGATCTTCCCCAGCAACCCCTTCTAAGAGGAAAACATCAGTAGTCAATATGCCCTATTTCAGGGGTCTCTTGGAAATGGGTACTACTATTCTGATTAAGAGGAGATCTGGTATGCTCAGAGGATAACATTCTATAACAGATTATTGTCATTCCATGTATGCTATATGACAGACATTTTCCAGAAAAGGAAAGACATGAGGCTGTTATTTCAGGGAAAACAACCAACAGTATTTATTGCTAGAGAAAAATTCATGACCAAAACAAAAATTATAGTTTGGGTAATTTCCATCTGCTGCCTTGAGCTTAACAGCTTCCCTAAATCCAAAGAACTTCTGATCAGAGCAAGACAATTGTGAAGATTGATGAATGTAGGTTATTTTTATAATGTATAAATGTCATGATTTGGAAGATGGGCAATTAAAGCCAACCAGTATTTTCTAAATGATCAACACCTAATGTTTATAAACTCATACATATGGGGTAAAAGGAGCTATTCAAAAGAAAATATAGACTAGTGATTTTTAATGTGTTTATACGATAAGTTTATTGCTGTCATTTCAGATTCCACATTGTACTGACTCCTGCTTAGTTTTGCAAAATTTCTTCTTCATTATTATTTATTATTATTATTATTTATTATTATTATTATTATTTGTGACCAGGCTGGCCTCAAACTCACAGAGATCTGCCTGCCTCTGTCTCCCAAGTGCTGGCATTATTATTTGAAAATATTGTTTAAAATACTATTGCTATTTTAACCTTCATATCTAAGTCCTGATTTTCTGTTATATGTCAACCAAAATATCTACAGCAACCAATTGGGTATAGAAAAACCAAAGAACTAGACTGTCTTGTATTCAGCCGTCTTTGAGGACATTTGAAAAATGTGAAAATAGTGCCATTCTTTTAGATTTTTATTAAAAATAGTTATGTTTCATTAAAATGTATTTCAATATTGATATGTGGTAAATTTTAGTTTTTAATATAATGCATGTTGACATAACCCATATAGATATATCCTCAGTAAATTTTCAGTCTCAAGGGATCTTGATATAAAAAAATGATACTTTTAAGGCTACAAGGTAATATCCAGTTGTAAAGTGCTTTTTGTGGAAGTATACTTTGGATTATTTTTAATGTTTCTAAAATTATTTAATTTTTGTAATGAGGCCAGCATGTCATGTCCTTAGTATTCTCAAAGGAATGGGACACAGCAAATCTAAAATTGTTCCTAATTTTGCTATTAAGAATCTTCTCTGTAAGTCTGTTATGCTTTTCCCTAGTGAATTTTAGGTACTAAAAATAATTGGAAGTCAGAATTAGAAGTAAGTCACTAGAGTAAAAAATGAAGATTGGTAGAACTGTTAAGGTGAAATAGGGCAAAAACTTGAACATGTTCTGTTCTATTCTTATAATTCTCGATATGCAGGCTTTACTATTAATCTTTCAGTTAGCCAAAGGAATGAGGACATGATGGAATGACTAAATTTATAGACTTTTAAAAAAATGTTGGGGATTTGTTGTTGTTGCTTATTTTTGTTAAAGTATTTCTTAAGTCTTAGTTTATAAATACTAATCAGAATAAAATAATTATTTCTCTGTCTTCTTCCATACAGTTCATAAAACTATTATCGATATATATCTATATCTATATTCCTGCTACAAATAGCTTTGAAAATAAACAATACTGGCCTCTGGGATAGCTTATCAATCTTTCATTTTAGACAAAGTTTTTAAAATTCTTCCTATTTCATCCTACATTTAGCAATGAATTTAAGTGATTCTAGGAATCAATATGTTTTAATGTTTCTTATTTCATATACCATGAAGAAACTAGAATAAAGTTCAGGCTACACAAATGGAAAATGTTGGGAGGCTTAAGAAAATTCCTCTAGATCACACAGATAATTTAGTTTCCTTAAGGTTAATGGTAATATAGATGTATGTTTTAGCAGGAAACATGGACTTTGTCATAAATACAGTGTCTAAAATTCTAATTTTGAAAGGGTAGGGTTTATCAATAGCATTGTGCTTTAGTATCAGTCATAGAGTTTGGGTTATACATGCCTAACTTGTGTAATATAGTCTGTCATTCGATTAAAACTTGTTCAGGTCACTGTTTCTCTCTTGTTTTAAGTTGTCTTCATTTGACTCTGGAATTAAGCTTACACTGTGATAAAATGTATCTCATTTGTCTAAAGCATATGACTCTAGTCACTTTTGACATAACTTGAAACTATAAACAAGAATATTATGTACATGTCCAAAGGATTAAGAATGTATTTAAGTCTTTCACAATAATTTTGAAAAAAATTAGAGTAATTTAAGATTCAGTTCTAATATTAAATAAAGATGCTTAGACTAACAAAGGAAAAACTATAGATATGGAGTGGAGATTCTGTAAATGCAATATATAACTACTGTGTACTTTATAGAATAGATAGAAACAGGATGCTGAGGCAATAAATTATTATGAATCAACATTATGTTTAACTAAACTCTTAGTATTATGGATTCTTAGATCTTGAATTGTTTGTGGAGGAATTGGTGAGTTCCCTAAAATAAAACATAGTTAAATAGGCTTGTAGAGACTAAGAATTTAAGCCAGAAAATAAATAAATAAATAAATAAACACATGGGATTTGAGAAGAAAGGAATGTACTTAAGACTTTGATCACTGAGTCGTAGCTTTCTACACATATCTTCCTTAATTTTGCTATTTGGGTAATTATAACTTGAGACAATAGGAAATCATTGCATTTATTGAAGTCATGCCATTCATACATGCTATTTAGGATTTACAACAGCCTTGCCTTGTACATATTTGTTTTCTATTGTCTTCAGTTTGGTTTGCTTCTGAAGCATATCTTAGTAGTAAATAAGGCACTCGAGGCAGTTGTTCTTGTGTATGCTTAAGGAATTAGTCTTTTGTGGCTAAACAACTTTTAATGTATGTAAGGAACTATCATATAAGCTTTATTTAATCATCTAATGTGTAGTTGTTATTAAGGTATGGTCCACATTTCACAATATAAATGAATCAAGAGTTCATATTAAAGCATTTTAAAGGAGCAAAGGGCAATAGTGATCAGTTGGGACTTGGGAATTATTAACATTTTGCTTTAATGTTAGGCACCATCACCTTTTAAGATGCATGGCAGTAATACATCTTTAGATATTTCATTGATGAAATCATTTTGTACATTTTAAGATCTTACTGGCCTCTAGTGGTAATGTGATGCTATAGTTTAAGCTCCAATTCTTATGAATATAAATCCATTTTGTATAAGTCTGCTCTTAACCCTGCTCGCTCGATTTTTTTTTTTCTTTTTTGTTTTTCTAGACAGGGTTTCTCTATGTAGCTCTGACCATCCTAGAACACTCTATGTTGACCATATTGGCTTTAAACTCACAGAGATCTGCCTGTCTCTACCTCTTGAATACTGATATTAAGGCATGCACCACCACTGCCTGCCTGCTCACTCAATTCTTGATTAATTGTATTTTCAAAATGTACATTAACATCCTCTTTGTCCAAAGACTAGACAGCTTTTTCCTTTCTTCTTTTCTCTGTGTTATGCCCGCTTCATTTTGAGTAGCATTGGTTTAACTTTGAAGCAGCCTCCTATTGTTTAAGTCTAAATACTTTGTCAGTTTTCTTCTGGAACGTTTGAGCTTTTCTGAAGATTGTAGGACCAGGTTTTCCTTAATCCATTATAATAGTTTGAGATTCATGTTTAGAATCACTTTTGTTAATTTGCCCTTAAAGAATCTTGTATTTCAAATACCCGTATCCCAGGTATGAGAATAGTTTGTTAATTTGTTTTTCTCTTTTGCTATACAGATGTGAAAGGTCCACCCACCCATCGTCTGTCTTGTGGTCAGTCACCCTACACTGAGACAACATCATGGGAAAGGAAGTACTGCATCCTTACAGACAGCCAACTGGTGTTGCTCAACAAGGAGAAGGAGGTAAGATGCAAAGCTACTCTTCATTTTTAAGCACATTTCTGAAATCATGTATGTACTTCTTATTTGTATTTTGATAAAGTTGCCTCTAGCAACTATCAACTACAATCTAAATGGGTTCTATTGTCATAATTACTTTGCTTCAGTGAAATAGCAAGTTCCACAAGAGAGGGCTGGATTTTAAATAAGAAAACAATGAAAATCATACTGAGTTGATAAATTTGGAATGGGAAAGTTTTAAGTTGTGGAAACCTAGTCTTGCAAATGGTCTAGAGGGACTAAATTATATCAGTTTACTCCTGTCCTGACTAGTTTTATGTCATCTTGATACAAGGTATAGTCATTTTGGAATAAGGATCCTCAATGGAGAAAATGCCCTCCCTAGATTGACCTGTGGACAAGCCTGTGGTACATTCTCTTGATTGATGTGGGAGGGTTTCACTCACTGTGAATCGTGCCAACCCTGGATGGGTGGGCCTAAGAAAGCAGGCTGAACAAGTCATGAGGAGCAAGCCAGTAAGCAGCAGCCCTCTTTGGGGCATCCAGGTTCCTGCTGTGTTTGAGTTCCTACCCTGACTTCCCTCAGTGATGGACTGTAATGTGAAACTGTAAGCTAAAATAAAGCTTTTTCTCTCCATGGCACTTTTGGTAACTGTGTTTCATCATAGTAGTAGAAACCCTAAGTAAGATAAAACCCAATGAAAGCAGACTTCAAACTCAGCAGATCTATGGAGAGATTTTGATAAATGGACAATTTAAAGAAGTGTGGGAAGAATAAGGACCTCATTGAAGGATAGAGAAGTACCCATGAGCTAGCAACAGCTGAAAGCAGCTATAACTCTTAGCTCTTGGGACAGTGGATGAGAGCAGCCTTTCTATAAGTCAGTGAATCATAATTGCATGAGAGGCAAAAGAACACAACCTGTCCCAAGTACTAACGGGCATCCAGAAAGAAATAAAAGAGAATAAACACTCTCTTTCTTTCTTTCTTTCTTTCTTTCTTTCTTTCTTCCTTCCTTCCTTCCTTCCTTCCTTCCTTCCTTCCTCCCTTCCTTCCTTCCTTCCTTCCTTTCTTTCTTTCTTTTAAACACTGGGACATAGATAGAGAGGTGGGAGGGAGAAATTCTTTTGAACTTATTTTGTTTACTACTTAATTCTTCAAACAGTCTCAATATATCAATCCTTTTATCCAAATCCACTTTCATCGCATAAAAAATGACTATGGTATTGGTAAAGAAGAGACAAAATGGCAGATAAGGAGAAGAAAATACCAATAAAACATTAATTATATTGATTTCTATGTAAAGGACTAAAAAGATGTGGTGGGTAAAATGCCCATTCAGTAAGGTCTTCTTCCTAAAATATATGTTCAGAAGGATGGGACAGGAAACATTTCTTGATTCTCACTTATATTTCCCTACATCATTTTTCTCTTCTTTTGTCCCACCCTTCATATCTTTATTTCTGTCACTTTTCTTGCCATCATTCTAAATTTGATAAAGATAAGGTAATAATGAAGTGAAGGCGTGAGTGTAATGAGTTCACTAGAACCAAGATAAATGATTAATGGGCATTTTATTGGGGAACAACTTACACAGAACAATAAAGACAGCCTTTCTCTGTCCTTCTGGTCTGAGAGAGAGAGAGAGAGAGAGAGAGAGAGAGAGAGAGAGAGAGAGAGAGAGAGAGAGAGAGCACGCAAGAGAGCCTGCCTCAAGATTTCTTCTTTCCAGGTCTTTCCAGGTCCATCTGCACCTGAAGCCACGCCCAAAGGGGTGTCTTTGGGTGTGGCCCCTGTTATAGGTTCATGAGTAAGATGCTACTACACCTAAGGTACATCCATAAAGAACTTTGTTGTTCTTTTCATTCATTGAAAAACCTCCCTCACTTAATAGCATCTTCCTCCCCATTTCCAGTATTTTGGTATTATTATATTTAATTTTATTAAAACTTTTCAGTTAAGGTCAGCCCTTTCAATATTATGTGTTGTTTCCTTAAAATGAATAATAAAAATTCACAGATTAATTTTAGTATAATAGATCTATAATTACCCAATTTGAATAAAAACATAGTTCAAGATGTTTTGATGAAGCTACTCTGTTGTCTTTCATTATTGCTGTTAGTAAGGAGTGACAAAAAGAGACCATTTGCCATCTTTTTGTCCTTGTCTGCATTTTGTTCAGTCTAGCCTATAGTTTAAGAACAAATATCTCAACATTAAGAAAAAAGTTGTATCTGGTACCCATATATAATCCATTACCAAAAAGTTCCTACAGCTCAGTTAATTACCCCAATCAGGGTTTCCTTTATCCCCTATAGCAATGTCATAGGTCCTTTCCTCTTTGTGTGGGTGCAGATGCATTTATGTATGGAAGTTGAAGAATAAATATTGGGAATGGAACCCAGAAAATCCTGCATATTAGTCAAGTACTTTACCAGTGAGCTACATCCTCAGCTCAAATATATATATTTGGGTTTTCAAGACAGGTGTTCTCTATGTAGCTTTGTAGACCAGGCTGTCCTCAAACTCATGAAGATCTGCCTGCCTCTGCCTCCCAAGTGCTGGGATTAAAGGTGTGTGCCACCACTGCCTGACCTATGATTTAATGGTAGCTATTATAAATAGATTTAGATGTCTGAGAACCCTCATTTGTTACAAGCAATTTTCCCATCAGCCTGGTCCCACAGCCCCACCAACCCCGAATAACAAACAGAGACACTGTATTAGATATAAAGGTGTTGGCCTTTTACTAGCGTTTCTTATTGGCTAGCTTTGTCTTATATATTAACCCATTTCTGTCAATCTAAGTATTTCCACATGATCTTATCTTACCAGAGAGAGCGTCTGGAGTTCTGCTCTCTTGGTTCTACATTTTGAACCTCCTCCTACCTTTTCCTGAATCCTCCTTGCCTTCTAGTACCACCTGTCTTGCTTTCCTATTGGCCAATAATGCTTTATTCATTAACCAATACAAGAAACATATTTACAGAATGACATCTCCCATCATCTATCTCAGTTTTAGGGATTTACATGTATATATACATACATAGTTATATTGTTTGGGTATTTGTCCCTGCTTTACTCAGGGAAGTTTCAATCAGTTTTATAGCTAGGTTCCTGAGTATTACAGGAAACCCATGTTTCCTATTCCTATGAGATTAGTCAGACGTAGATGCTTAATCTTCAAACACTTCATAGACTTACAGAACATGGCATTTAAATGTTTTAATATTAGTACTCCGTTGACATGAGACACTATTGCTCCTGACAGCACCAAACATTTTCCCAAAAATATGTTGGACACTGTCATCACTCCTTCTGGAGTCCATCCTTGCTTCGTGTAATGGCCTCTTTGGCAAAGAACTGCCCCCATTTTGATCACTGATTTGGACATGCGGTCCTTTGTGCTTGCAGGAGACAAACATAGAAGACTGCTAAGCCTTGCCAAGTCTGGGTAAGACAGCCTTTCTACCTCCCTGCTTTTGTTATGGTCTGTCAGGTCCTCTAGGCCTTAGCCAAAACTGGTTGTATGAATGTTGCTGTGAGACTTTGGGTGACTGTCCAGGTAGCCTGCTGTTTTTGTCCTTGCTGCACCATTTGGAAGTTGCCCATCTGCACTTCCTGCCTACCCTAGAATTGTCTTCCTTCTTAGGTCTTTGATGATGTTGAAGATTAAACTATCACAACTGTTATTTTCTCTTCCTAGTTAGATATATTAGGTACTAGACTTAAGCTTTCCAGCTTAGGACAACTCTATTGTAAACTCCCTTATGCCTTCACCCTAAGACTAGATATGTAGGTCTTAAATTTGTATGTTCTCGATTTTCCTTTTCTTAGAGCACAATTGTTATTCACTGTTTTGTATATAGTTTTGTATCAAGCCTAAGTCTTTTCTTTAGACTAAAAGGGGAATTGTAGTGAAATACTCACTTTGTCTGCACCTGTGGCACTGACCATGCCCACTGGAGGTGGGAACAGGGGCGGATGTTACCTGGGGGGAACTAGGTCTGGGGAAGCGGCCCTGGAGCGCTCTCTTGCTTGCAGCATGGGGACAGAAGAGCATCCAGAGGCATCCTCAGGACCAGGAAGCTGCTGGTGTTCATCTGTCTCTGTTGTAAGTTATTTCTCCCTGAATAAACATCTATTCAGCCTATTTGTTTTTCCTGATTCTTATTAAACCACAATAGTCATTCCCTACATTTAACTCTTGCTTTGGGTCTACATATCCCTACTTTCTGACCTTATCTTCCACTGTTCTTTACCCACTTCTTGAAGCAATTCATTTCCTGCTCAAGATAAAACTTTTTTCTTCTACCTTGACACTATAGGTGTTCTTTTTACTTTTTGGTCTCATGAGAAAAATGAAGCTTTTCTGAAGATACTGTCTCTTGTGAAATTCTGTCAAGAGGTAGCTGTTTCTCTTCCATAGCCTTTATCATACCAAATTGCCTAGAATAGGTATCTTCTCTTTATGGCTGTTTCTTACTATTCTTCCTCATTTTCTGTAAAATGAGCACAAACTTTCTGTTGTAACAGTCATCTTCCAAGCCCAAGCCCCTTCTCATATTGTCACACACATTTGTTGATTTTAATATTCTGGGTTACTGTCATCTCAATAACTATTTCAAGTCAATTTATTGCCTGTAACATCAAAAATCCAAGGTATGTACTTGAATATACAATGTCATTTCCTCCAAAGAGAGGAATGGGAATGGGGCAAGGAAAGATTAGATCAAAGAAAGCAAACACAGCAGAGCACACAGCAAACCCTTTAGTTGCATGTAGCTTCTGGGGCTTATGGTAACATCCTATGAACTTCGGTGAGTTTGGGTAGCTCTACCCTACAGTACTGCTGCTAAAGGTGTATGTACTCTCTTGGTTGATTCAATCAGTAGTTTCAGCTTTTCCTATTTTTCATCCTATGTCCCTATTATACCTAGTATCATAGTTCCCTATTGGTTCCTAGGTTTTATCTTCAGAGATTTACAGTGACTTGTAAAGG